CCTCCTCCTCCTCCCTCCCTCCTCCTCTTTTCTCCCTCCCCTCCTCCTCCTCTCCTCCCTCCCCTCCCTCCTCCACTCCCTCCTCCACCTCCCCCCCTTCCTCCTCTCTCCTCCTGACCTCCATTCCCGTACCCCCCTCATTGTCCCCTCCTCCATTCCTCCCCTCTTCCCCTCCTCCTCCTCCTCCCTCCTCCCTCTCTCCTCCCTCCCTCCTCTTTCTCCTTCCCTCCTCCCCTCCTCCTCTCCCTCCTCCCTCCTCCTAGTCCCCCCCCTCCCCCTCCCTCCCTCCTCCCTCCCTCCCTCTCCTCCTCCCCTCCTCCCTCCTCCTCCATTCCTCCCCTCCCCTCCTCCATGTATAAGGCCTTACATGATGTAAGGTCTTGTTACTATTTCGAGGCGCAATCCCTTTATGCATCCGTAATCAGACGTTTTTTCCCCTATGCTTCGTGTTCCTACGCCATGTTCTTTTGTTCTGTCTTTTTGTTCTTTGGTGTTGTTTTTTTTTTCTTTAGTTTGTTTCTTTGTCTTTTGGTTTTGGTTTTATTGTTGTGTTTTTTTATTATGATTGTTGTTGATTTTGTCATTGTTAGGTATTTTTTCTTCCATTCTTCTCTTGTATTTCTTTTTTGTCTTGGTAAGTTTTCTTTACTTTCTCTTTGATTTTCATTTCTTTTTTATATCTTCCACTTTCTCATTCTTCTAATTCTATTTTTTCTACATCCCCCCTTGATTTTATTTCCTTTTTCTCCTCCCTATTTTCTCCTCCCATATTTGTTTTCTTCCTTTATTATTCTCTCTTCCTTTTATCTTCTCTTCTTCCTCGTTATTTACTCTTTCTTTTTTCTCCCTCCCTCTAATTCCAGATCTTAACCCCTTTCCGTTCCCTTTCATTCTCTCCCTCATTCTCTTCCCCCTTTTTACCACTTCCCCTTCCTCTCCATCTTCTCTTCCTCCTTCTCTTCTCTTCAGTTCCTTTTCATCTAATTCTCTTCCCCTCTTTCCCCTCATCCGCCCACACGCCCATTCCCTTCTCATATTCTTAGCTCGTACTCGCTGGATGTCATTTCATTAATGTTCATGAATGGCGGATTCAGGTTTTTATCTTCTCTCTCTCCTCTCTCTCTCTCTCTCTCTCTCTCTCTCTCTCTCTCTCTCTTCTCTCTCCTCTCTCTCTCTCTCTCTCTCTCTCTCTCTCTCTCTCTCTCTCTCTCTCTCTCTCTCTCTCTCTCCTCTCTTCTCTCTCTCTCTCTCTCTCTCTCTTCTCTCTCCCTCTCTCTCTCTCAATATCGGGGGCTGTCCTCTCTCCCCCCCCCCCCCCCCTCCATCTCTCTCTCTCTCTCTCTCTCTCTCTCTCTCTCTCGCTCGCTCGCTAAATATACATATTATTGTATTGGTTATATACTATATATATATATATATATATATATATTATAATAATCATCGTATGTGCTTGTGATCAACTTCCAGTCGGGAAGCAGAGGCGTATATAGGAGAAGAAGAAAACAGGTTTATCGGAAACAGCATCTTTATTTTTCTCAAACATCTCTGTGTGTAATATATATATATATATATATATATATCTATATATATATATATATATATACGTATATAATATATATGTATATATATATATAGTATATATATATATATATAATATATATATATGTATGTTTATATTATATTAATATATGTATATATATATGTATACTGTGTATATATATATATATAAATATATATATTATATATATATTTACTATATAATATATATATGGTACGCACATAATTATATATACCTTAATATATACGCACATATATATACATATATATACGTACATAATATATTATATATTATATATATATATATACATATATACCTATATACACAATATATATATACATATATATATAACCGTACAATATATAAACATAGATAATATACGCACATATATATAACATAACCACATATACATATATATACGCACTATATACATTAATATAATATTATATTATATATACTACTATATAAGTATTATATATATATATAATATACGCACATCATATAATATACATACATATACGTACATATATACGCACATATATGTTAATATATGTACTACATAATATATACGCACATATACATATATAACGCACAATATATACATATATATACGCACATTATATATATATAATATATATTATATATATAATAAATATACATACATATATATACCACATATATTATACATATGTATATATATAATATAATATAAATATATATATATATATATATATACGCACATACAATATAATATATGTAAATATATTATGCACATATAACACACACACACACACACACACACACACACACATATATATATATATATATATATATATATATATATAATATATATAATATAATATATAAATATATATATATAATATATATAATAATATAGCACATATATATATATACGCATATAAATACACATATACATATAAT